CTCGATAAGTTGTTATGATACTTGTTGAATGAAGAAGATTTTAACTGATTTGAAAGAATAGAAGGGGGATCCCTGGGTGGCGCAGCGGTTTAGCGCCTGCCTTTGGCCCAGGGCACGATCCTGGAGACCCGGGACTGAATCCCACGTCGGGCTCCCGGTGCATGGAGCCTGCTTCTCCCTCTGCCTGTGTCTCTGCCTCTCTCTGTGTGTGACTATCAAAAATAAATAAAAATTAGAAAAAAAAAAAAAGGAAAGAATAGAAGGACATACCTGAACAGAAACCTAAGCCACCTACATTCACATATGGTGAAATGTCTTACAAACACCTCTCCTGTAGCTCTCCACCTCCGAAATGCTGACAAGACTGCACCCTACTGGAGTGGCTGGCAAAGTCTGATTCGGAAGAGAATTTCAAGAATCTTTTAGCCTCTGATATATAATCCCCTTTATTTACCTACATTTAATTGAAGACATCTGTAGGCGGTGCCACACAAAATGTAATTCAGACTTAGTAATGTCAATAAAATGTCCGTAAGGGAAAGGTCCGATGTAAACCTAGCAGGGAAGTGCACATCAGCAGCCACAGAGCCACATGAAATTAGGAATATAATGGAAATATGTTGCCTGACTTGACGAGGTGATAAAAGCTCTTTTCCCATAAAGCTTAATGAGCTCTATTAGTCTTCAGCTTACAGGAATGTAAAGAGGTCAGCCCCACAGAGGGAAGTAACTGACTTTCCACACATGGCTCCATTCAAATGACAGCAGATCAAATTACTGATGTAATTACTATAACCTGACAATTTCGTTAGATTCATGTGGCGGTTAACTATTTAGGACTTACAACAAAGGGACATGGTTCATTCATACTAGTTTGTGGACAAAGTGAAGTTTAAAGTATTCTTCATTTTCAACTGCAAGTCCCACATATTTTACAGTCTCTACCAGAATTATTTTTCTTTTAATCACAATCAGGGAAGGTGTTTGGGTATTTACCTTCCCCAGCTAAAATACAAGCTCAATGGCAAAATTAAACACTGGGGACTCCTAACACTCTCCTGCTTTGGCTTTGTTTTGGCTCTCAGACTCTGTGATGTGGCAAAGGAATAGAATCCTGAGTTCAGTGCTGTTGGAAGTTTAGGGGTAGCAGCCACTATCTATACTATCAGGCAGCCCCTGAAAAACTCTGGACTAAAAAAATTTCAACAGAAAGCCCTCAAAGGAGTTCCCAAAAACTTCAAGCAAAGAAAAGCACATTGGTCATCTCTCATTTTGCCCTATGTCCATAAGCTCAGTAAGAAGAGAGATCTGTAACAAAGGTAAAACACAACTCCAATCATTAAATGGAGAAAGCAGATCAGAGAGAAAATGATGAGATCACTACAATTTGATCATACTTTCCCTCTACTATTCACCAAAGATTAAAGCTTCTATACATACAGTCCCAATATTTAGCCAGATGTAAGTAAAAAAAACATTTGTTTGATATACTCCGGCTGTACAGTTGGTAAACTCCAACCCCTATCTACACCCAAGAGCATCCAAACATGAAAAAGACAACGATCCTCATCTTAATACAGTCGTGCTAAGACTATATTGAAACATAAATACTAGGCCTTGTGTGTTTTTGGCTGACTCCTGCAGCCTCAGCCTCAGCCCTAGCTTATCCATCCATCCATCAAATACTTATCCAGTGCTTCCACTGTACTACTTTACTACACTAAAATCAGAAACACAAAGCAAGAAAAACAGGGTCCTCTCTCATTGGGCTCACATTTGAGAAAAGTCTATTAGTGAGGTCTATTTAGAAGGATCTTTGCCACTGTTTGGTAATACTGCCCCAGTGGTGCAGTGGACATCAAGCTCCAGCCTCCTTATTCACTCCGTGTCCAGGTAAGCCAATCCAGCCCAAATGTCTTCCACTCAAAACCATTCTTCCTGGTTATTCCTCAAAGCTCTTGCTGAAATCAGAGTCCAGCCTTAAACCTTACCGTCATTCCCTTCACCTAAGCCCCTGCAATTCCTCTCCATCTTTTTCCCCTAAGACTAGACCCTGTTTGCTCAACAATCAGAGCCTTGCCTGATATACTTTTCAAACACTGACTACAAAAGCCACCACCAAAAACCTACCAAGGTATCTCTTCTCCCCATTGTGGCTCCTTCATGGAAGAGCAAAGGGTGACACAATTTAACATTTTGTGTATCTCCTTAATTGGTTTCTGCATGTTTTAATTATTTTTAAATTGAGGTCTACATGTATAATTTTGCATCCTACTTCTATTTCAATATAGCAAAAGTATTTCACACTGTTTTCATCAACAGGTACTTAAGTATATGCATAATCCCCATTTTAATGGCTGTACCGTGTTCTGTTGATAATATGGCTTTCTGTACCATTATTTATTTGACCTCTTACTGCTGGACATTTAGACTTTATAAATTTTTTGCCATTATAAATAGTGCCATAATAAACATTTACACAAGTTTTGTCCCCACTTTTATTTCTCTGGCAGTGATTCTTAGATTAGAATTATTCCAGCACACAACCCATAAGGTATGAATTTATATAGGGTCTTGAATGTAGATGACAAAATTGATTTCTGTAAAGGATAAAGTATAAAAACAACTCATCCCATCATATCTCCCCAAACATTTATAAAAAAAAGATTAACAGGTAAGCAAACATTTACCACTGTTCTTTTAAACTACACTCCTTTGCTTACAAGGTTAATTCTTAAAACATTTACTACCATTTGTATTTCACCACATCAACTACCTCATAAAATCCAACCAAAAATTATGGGAAAAAAAATAAAACATTTTAAAATTGACTCCAAGAGATCTTGAAGTATAATAACCTTGTTATACTTTCCCCAACTGCCTTTTAACTATATATTTTTATGAACAAAATTAAGGATTTTTAACAGAAGCAAATCTTATTTTTCCATCCTTTCCTCTGTGATACTTCCCATTCTGCTATGCTTAAAAAATGCTTCATCAACTAAAGAGCAGTTGTATAATTTATACTGTTTTCAAATTTCTTAGTTTGCTTGTTTTTGCACTAAACTTTATTTAAAATTTTATGTGACAGGATTTGTGCTTAGTGCTTACCACACACTATCTCATTTCATCTTAATAACTATAAAGTAGGGGATCCCTGGGTGGTTCAGCAGTTTAGCACCTGCCTTTGGCCCAGGGCATGATCCTGGAGTCCCAGAATCGAGTCCTGCATCGGGCTCCCTGCATGGAGCCTGCTTCTCCCTCTGCCTGGGTCTCTGCCCCTCTCTCTCTTTCTGTCTCTCATGAATAAGTAAAATCTTAAAAAAAAAAATAACTATAAAGTATTACCAATTCCATCTTTAGATTAAAGGAAAGATGAAATTGCTCATGGGCTAAGCAAGCCTCCAACATTTCAAAGCCCAAGTCCCTCTAAACATAGCTTTGTTTCCCTCTTGATCTTGTATATTTAGAAAATGTAACCAAACCTGGATGGTACAGTTTTCCCCTGGCAATCATCAAACTGACCTCTGAGAGTATTCAATGTGCCAAGTTGGTTTACACCACAAACCCACAACGTTTCAAAAAAATCACATGAGTACAATGTTACAGAAGCAGTGTGTGTGGAGAGTTGCAGAAGGGTGTGGCAGTGGACAAAGGCTCAACCTGAAGAGGGATAGGATTTGAACCAGTTGGGAACAGGGGATAGGAACTTAAAGTGAAATAAGCAAAAGCAAAAGGAAGGACAATGGAAAGGCAGAGAACAGTGTCTGATCACCCGGGGCTTCAGTGCAGCCCAAGAGGAAAATAAAAAATATTACTAAGGTTTTGAATAGCACTTTATTTATTGAACTCACTTGAACTCATGATCCTGGGATTAAGACTCGAGCCTGAGTCACCCAGGTACCCTGAGTAGCATTTTAAAAATGCTACCATGTCCACTGCTTCATTAGGGAGGTAAGACTTGTCATTTGCATTTTAAAGATAAAAAAACCCAGGCTCAGGGAAGTTGTGATTTGCCCAACTGTGTCCAGTAAGGGAAGGCATGCTCTAAAACTGAGATTTGGTTCTGAGTGCAAGCATCTCTCCCACTCCCCCTTCTTTCCTCCTCCTTCCTCAAAGCCTCATCCATCTTGTGTCAAATCACAGGTCAGCAGTTTTCCTGAGTATCTTTATCTCACAATGTTATCACTGGAGTCTCAGCTCTACACTGCAGAACCATTATGAGGACTCAAGGTGAAAGTAAATGTAGCACTGAGAGAGGGGGAGGGAAAAGGAGAGGAGGGAGTGGGGGAGGAAAGGGAAGAGGGAGAGAGAAACAGGGAGGGAGCACACCTGTGCTTCTAAGAGAAGCTCAGTAATAGTAAGTCCTTTGCTCTTGCCTTATCAATTCAGGAGTCTGAAAAAGTGCTCTCAGGCGCCTGGGTGGTTCAGTAGGTTAAGCATCTGCTTTCAGCTCAGGTTATGATCTCAGGGTCCTGGGATTGAGTCCCTCATTGGGCTCCCTGCTTGGCAAGGAGTCTGTTTCTCCCTCCCTCTCCCTCCTCCAGCTAGTACTCTCTCTCAAATAAAATCTTAAAAAAAAAAAAAGTGCTGCAAACCAATAGAAACTGGCCTGACAACAGGCACCGTCGCCCTTTTAATACCAGGGCCATTAAGACAGAATAGGGCTAGTGTCAAACAGTTAGGAAGGAAGCAGACATAATAAGGCTCTTTATAATGCAAGACTGGTGATTTCAGTTTACTTAAAAAAAAGAAAATGTCCTTAAAAAGAAGCAATGACCTGTTACGAAGGTGAGCAGCTCTGTAACTTAGAACAATTCTTATTCTAAAAAAAAGTCTGTATTCATCTCATTACCATTATCTTTTTTTTCATTACCATTATCAAAGAGGATGTGTTAAAACGAACACCTCTAAATACCAAATAAATGCCTAACAAAACATACCAATAGTGATGTCCCGAGTAGTGATTCTAGTATTAAAGTCAGAGAGTCAACTCTTACCTCCAGAGGTGAGCTGCAAAGGAACCTTGTGAACTGTAGAGTCACATTTAAATATCAGGATCAGTTTCATCCAATAAATGAACAGCAAAAGAAAACAAAAAAAGAAAAATTATTGTTATGTATTTTTTCAATAACAGCATCTAAAGTAAACCTTAAAGTCTATAAAATTAACATTTTTTGATTCACTGTATAGTTTTTATCCAGAGTACAGAAAAGTTCTATCTAGCCCATAGTTGGCATCCAGCTATTTAAATTAAATAAAATCTGTACAAACTCTATATAAAATAATTAAAGCACAACAAGCTAGTCCTAAAAGCTTTCATTTCTTAAGGTGTCATCTTACAACCCCTACATAATTAATCCAAGACAGGAATCAGCAATCTTCCTGACAATGAATGCCACAAGCAAAATTACGTAAGAGCCAAGAGAAGGGAAAGATATAAGACAAAGGGGAATCAAGAAATAAAAAAATCAAGACCAGGAGAGAAGGCTGGCTGAGGCAAGAGTGAAAGAAGGGGAGTCCCCCCACACACACTGGTGCCCGGGCAGTTCTCCCTTTCTCTTTCTCAGCCAACATGCATCCTTATTCTCTCTACTACCTCTTTCTTTGACACATGTCAAGGCTTACACAATAACATCTGAAACTAAGCGTTATATATGCTGTTTCTCAGTATTTAATTAAGGAAACAAATTTAGGCAGGGTAGGAAGGAGCCATGAATAACAAAGCAAACTGCTCTGAAATGAGGACTGTCACATAACTCTATATATCCATGATAATTCATAATGCTTTTTAGATGTTATTTATTAAATCAACATTTCAAATCCTTTGAGAGTTACTGTAATAATAAAATAGTCAAGTAGCATAAACTCTTGATCTTTCTAAATGCGAAATAACTACAATAAAATGCAATAGCAGGCCTGTTTCCAAGGGCTCTTGAACTTCCTCTCCACAACAAAGCTAGCCAGTACTCACAGGGAATACAAATAATTTGATTCTCTTTTAGAGATACACACTGAAATATTTTTCAATGAAATTACATGATGTCTGGGATTTCCTTCAAAATCACCAGGGGGTCAGGAGGAAGTATCATAGGATAGCATGTAGATAAAACAAGACTGGCCATTATATTAAACTGGTGAGGACAGGAGATGAATATATGCAGATTCACTATATAACTTTCTACTTTGTAAAGATTTCCAGTTTTCTACAGTAAAGTTTAAAAAGTATGGCAGACACTTTCTCCCCACAAAACTAAAGCAAATACATTTGTAAAATGTTACTAGTACACACTAAAGCCTTATAATTAACTAGTATCATTTAGGCCCTAGATAATAGGGTATATTTAAGCAACTTTTTTTAAGAGAACTTTCTGAAAGTGCAAGATCTATCAACATTTTAAGTTTTCATAATACTGATATGTAACAAATTAATTTTGTTGAAACTTAAAGTGTAACCTTGTGATCTTGGATTCTTTTCATAGTAGCCCAACATGAGAGGATCTCGACCCTTCCTCCTGGGAGTAAAAAGTGGCAAGTAAAAGACTAGCCAGTTTTAACAGTGGAAAACAAAAGGTATGGAGAATTTTTATTTCAGAATGAGAAATCTGCTCTTGCACAGTTTCTTTCCTTTTCTCCACTAAGTGCATGTTAACTCTCTAGTACGCATTATATTTTAGAACTTAGAAGTAGGGGCACCTGGGTGGCTCAGTGGTGGAGTGTCTCCCTTTGGCTCAGGTCATGATCCCAGGGTCCCGGGATCAAGTCCCACATTGGGCTCCCCACAGGGACCCTGCTTCTCCCTCTGCCTATGTCTCTGCCTCTCTGTGTCGCTCATGAAAAAATAAATAAAATCTTTAAAAAAACAAAGAAGAACATAGAAGTAGTTCTGGTTCAGCAGTAACTGATTTATCAGTTAGGATGGAGGTTACTTTAAATAACAATAAAAAGAAGCAGATAATTACTTTCCAGGAAAACTAATGTTTCCTTGCAGTTCCAATGCCTGACATACATCTCTGTCATGTGTGTATATAACATTCCTGTCACAGCTTTTTCAAAATAGACCTAAAAATTCCTGCACTGCCTAAAGCTGCCAAAACATGAAGTATATAAGTAAAAGTTCTCAATTCCCAAAGCAGTAAAAACAAAATAACAAATCACAAGGCGCACAATCACTTCCTATTCAAAGGACATGAAAAGATCCAAAAATGCTGCTCTGATTAGTGCACCAGAAAACCCACTGCTACTTCCCTTCAGTTACTTAGTAAATTTTCATTGTGAAATTACACACATCATATTCAGTACAAGTGGTAATACCTTGAAAAAGAACTATAAAAAAGCAAATTAATTGTAAAATATATTTTGTACATACACTGTAACTGACAAGAGAAATAGATGCCTTCTAACAAATACCATCCAAACGTCTGATCAGTTTAAAAATGGCTCAGTGTTGCTGTTACAACACAACAAAAAAGACTATGGCCCCAGTCCATAGTCCCCATTAATACCACTTTTCTAACATAGTTATTCTAATGGGGCCATTTAAAAAATATAGTGTTATGGGCATAGTTAAGTTAATAGGTTTAAGGGAAAGATCCTATTTTAATATTTAGGCAAAATGTTGAGAAAATAAAGAATTTAATACGTTTACAAAATATCTTACTGATTTTATAGACAGGAATATACTTCCTCATTCTAGAAAGAACTGGAGGTAAATATAGCCACAATATAGCCACATTTTTATCTATATACCTATTTAAAGACTACTTCTGAGAAATACTGATTTAATACAGTTGAAAATAGGAACTTCCCTGACATTTGTCTTTTCAAACGTAAACAGGTAAGTTTTTCAATAACAACATTAATAACATTATTAGACTCGCTACAATTAATAAAAATTTTAATTGTCAATTATCTCATCTACTCTTGAATTTTTTCAAAAAATAAGGATTATGTTCCGTATTTAGCATCCAGGCACAACAGCATCAGTAGTACCATTTAGAAAATCTTTCAGGCCTCTAAAAAGAGAAAAAGGATACACCAGATCAGTTCTCAATGTTCCACAGCTAGGTACTGACTGATCTTGCTTAGAGTATTCTTACTTATCACTTCTAGCTCCATTGGTAGCCTATGTCGTAAACATCTCATTCCTTCCAGAGAAGCACTTGGGTTTACCAAAATTTTCTCAATAGTTTACCAAGCACACAAAATCGTAGCTAAACTTGTCAGTTATGAATAGCAAGTTCTTTCTTTTTCCAAGACTTGTTATTAACCATGCCTTTTATGCTGGGGGGTAGGGTACAGTGGAGAAGGTGAGGGAGGAAGCAGGAGAGAAGAATGCACACTACTGGTTTTGTCAAAATATCCTGGTAAAACTACAATCAACTATCTTTGCAATATAAAACATTCAACACATAATACAAGCTACTATTTTCCTGAAATGCTTTTTCCATTTAATAAGGAATCATGGGCTCCCTGGGTGGCGCAGCAGTTTGGCGCCTGCCTTTGGCTCAGGGCGTGATCCTGGAGACCCGGGATCGAATCCCATATCGGGCTCCCGGTGCATGGGGCCTGCTTCTCCCTCTGCCTCTGCCTCTCTCTCTGTGACTATCATAAATAAATAAATTAAAAAAAAATAATAAGGAATCATGTTAAATTCCCATATTTTAACAAAAAAGGAAACACTAAAAAGCAATTTTTTACAAGGCACAACTTTTTTTTCCTAAAAAAAGTGAGTTATGCCTATTTGTCAAAGTGGAATTCAAGTCTTTCTTATAACTGTTCATATAGATTACTCAAAATGTCCTTGCAATAACAAAATACTTCTGCTGGTCCTGTTTCCTTGACCTTTCACCCTAGCACATGGTACTTACAAATTGTCAGGGGACAAGTCTAACAATTTTAGTTAGTCTATAATCTAGCAAGTCTTTATTTAAAACCTGAATCATACCTCAATGTAAGATACTAAGTTTTTTTATCAGGAATTTGGAAGTTTTAGTTAAGAGTGTAAGTTAAATTACACTCCCTTTACATTCTCCCACAACTGCCAGTCCATTTTGGACTACTGGAAATGGACTGTTTTAAGGCAGTGCAAGAACTAAGATTTTGTTAAGAATGTGTTTTTCCTGAATTGCCAACTCTTAGACATTAATGTGACTCCACAAAAGAAACAAAGTTTCATTATTTCATTTCATTGCAGAAAAACAAAACCTTCAAAAGCAGCCTACACAGCTACCATCCATTTAAAAGGTCATCCAGGGCATGGAAATTAAATCTGTACTTAGTACGAAGTCATGACGAAGGTCTGAGGACACATCCTGTTTATCCTAATTTTAGTGGGGAATAAACAGAACAGATTCAGGCAATCCTTAACTTCCTTTCTAGAGCTACTCCCTAGTCCACCTGCCAGGAGGTGGCTGAAGGACTAACTGCTTGCACTGGTTTATTGGATTAGACCTGGAACCTCTGGACTGGCCATTAAGCATCAATAAATCTTAAACGATGACAAGGAAAATCATATTTACATCCTAATCTATTTAAACCTATGTCCTCTGGGCTACCACATGTCCTTTTTCACCAATGGAAAGGAAGAACAACGATCTAAGAGTTGGTCTGGAGTTTCACTAGCTTCATCTACTTCATCTTGAGGTTCCTTCAATTATTGCAGCCTTAGTTTTCTATCTGTAAAATAGATAGAAGCCAGACCAGTTTCACCAACTGGTATCCTGTGGCACTCTTACAAAATTGCTCCAAGGCCAAGTAAGTTCAAGAAATTCTGCATATTATTGCCACTGCATCTCCTCTCCTCATAGAGAACTGTAAGATATACTGATAAAATAAGGACTTTGAGAATTCCTGCCATTAAAAACAAAAAACCCTAAAAGATAAGTTCTGGGGATCAAAAGCACAGCATTGTGATCCTATGTAACAACACCATATTAAATAATGAAAGTTGCTAAAAAAAACAAGTAGATTATAAGTGTTTTCAAGATAAAAAAGAAACATTAACTATGTGAAACGATCAAAGTGTCAACCC